TGACTTGAATACATGCAAATTTTTTCAGCAGACAGATCAACATCAAGATCTGGGTGTGAGGGAAGGGGAGAGAGAGGGGGAGGGGGGAGAGTATTCTATGATTTGTTGGACAGGAGTGTCCTCTCTGATCCAAGAACCCTTAGCCTTTACCAGTCCATGTTCTGCTGCAATTTTGCCACCCTAGCTATTCTAGAAGTATGTGTGCAAAAAAAGCCAACGAAAAAACCTACACTTTGTGAGTTAAGTACGACCTTGCATGGTACGAACCCGGCTTGTTTTAACAGCATTTAATAATACACCAGTAATTGGAAGTTCACCAATATGTTTCATCTTTAGATTACTTAAACCACGAGTTTGGCCATAGGTCTCCTTTGATTTTTTTCTTCTTCTCTTTGCTCAGTATTTCCTTTTCCTTTGTTTACTTTCTATTAGTTAATTTCTTAATTTCTTTTTTTTTCACTTTTCTTTTTTTCCTTTTCCTTTCCTGTCCTTTTCTTTTATTTTTCTTTCGTTTCCTTTCCTTTCACTTTCTTTCGTTTTCCTTTATTTATTTTGTCCCTTTCCTGTCCTTTTTTTTCCTCGCCATTTGCTTCCTTTCGTTTCAATTTCTTTTCATCCCTTTCCTTTTCTTTCCTTTACCTTTCTTTCTTTTCCTTTCCTTTTTTTCTTTCCATGCGTTTTCTGTTCTTTTCTTTCCTTTTGTCTTTTTTCCCTTTTCTATTCTTCTCTTTTCTTTTCTATTTCCCTTATTTGTGCTTTCCTTTCTTTTCTTTCTTTTCTTTTCTTTTAATTTCTTTCCTTTCCTTTCATCTTCCTTTGTTTTCTTTTCTTTCTTTCCTTTGTTTTCGTTTTTTTCCATTCCTTTCCTTTCTTTTCCTTTTTTGTTGTTTTTTCCTTTTTTTCGTCTCCATTCCTTTCCTTTTTTTCTCTTTCCTTAACTTTTGTTTTCCTTTCCTTCCCTTTCTTTTCCTTTGCTTTGTTTTGTTTGCCTTTCCTTGCCCTAACTTTCCTTGTCTTTTGTATCTTTTCCTTTTCGTTCCTTTCTATTAGTTAATTTCTTTATTTCTTTTTTTTCACTTTTCTTTTTTTCCTTCTTTTCCTTTCCTTTCCTTTTCTATTCTTTCTTTTTCTTTCCTTTCCTTTCACTTTCTTTCGTTTTCCTTCATTTATTTTGTCCCTTTCCTTTTCGCTTCTTTCCTCGCCACTTGCTTCCTTTCCTTTCAATTTGTTTTCATCCCTTTCCTTTTCTTTCCTTTACTTTTCTTTCTTTTCCTTTCCTCTTTTTCTTTCCATGCGTTTTCTGATCTTTTCTTTCTTTTTGTCTTTTTCCCATTCCTTTTTTCTTTTAGTTTGTTTCTTTTCCTTTCTTTTCGTTCCTTTTCCATTCTTCTCTTTTCTTTTCTGTTTCCCTTATTTGTATTTTCCTTTCTTTTACGTCGTTCCGTTTCTCCCCTTTCCTTTCCTTTTAATTTCTTTCCTTACCTTTCATCTTCCTTTCTTTTCTTTTCTTTCTTTCCTTTTCTTTCGTTTCTTTTCCATTCCTTTTCTTTCTTTTCCTTATCTGTTGTTTTTTTCCTTTCTTTTCGTCTTCATTCCTTTCTTTTTTTTCTCGTTCCTTAACTTTTGTTTTCCTTTCCTTCCCTTTCTTTTCCTTTGCTTTGTTTTTTTTGCCTTTCCTTTCCCTAACTCCTTGTCTTTTCTTTGTTTTCCTTTTGGTTCCTTTCCTATCCTTTTTTTCTCCTGTCGTTTTCTTTGCCTTTTTTTTTTATTTCTTTCCTCTCCTCTCCTTTCCTTTCCTTTCCTTTCCCGTCCTCTCCTTTCCTTTCCTTTCCTTTCCTTTCCTTTCCTTTCCTTTCCTTTCCTTTCTTTTTCGCTTTTTACTTTCTATAGCTTTCTTTTTCGTTTCTTTCTCTTTCTTTCCTGTCCCTTCCTTTCCTTTCTATTTCTTTCCTTTCCTTTTCTAACCTTTGTTTACCTTTCCTTTTTTTCCCTTTCGTTACCATCATTTTCATTTCCTTTCCTTTTCCTTTGTTTTCTTTGTTTTCTTTCTTTCGTATCTTTTCTCTTCCTTTGCTTTTCCCCTTCTTTCTTTTTTCCCTTTTCTTTTTCTTTCTTCCCATTTCATTTTATTTCATTTAATTTCAGTTCAGTTCAGTTTATATTAGTTTTTTCAGTTCAGTTCGGTCCAGTTTATTTCATTTCATTTCATTTTATTTAAGAAACACCAGTCCTCCCAGACCCACCACTTAGCAGCAGCAGCCGGCCTATGACAGACTGTCGGGAGTATAAGGAATCAGATTCCTACCAGTGCTATGGAGGGTATGTCCAAAATACTGATATTTAGTGATGAATAAGTTAAACTTACACCTGTGCATGCAGCTTAAGCGGGACCAAAGCCCCAAGACTTCACTCAATGATATTGGGCAGTACTGAAAACGTTTACCTTATAGGGCTTGTGTTTTTAGCCGATATAACGTACACTCTGGTTGGCTAGCTCTAGGGTATTATTCTCCCGTATTGCCCATGGGCCGATGACAGGTCTGCATAGACAGAGCCAAAAGCCAAATAATAAACAACTCATTAACCTCGAACGTTCGATCTTTACGGGAGAATCTCAAGATAAAACCCCGGCCTTGTCGTATTGTCGCTATCGCTCGGTCAATACGGCATGGTCTCGGTTTAGATTTCCTCGTAAAGACCTCACTCTCGGTCAATAAGTAGTTATTAATAAGCAGGTGCTTCGAGGGGGACTTGGATTCTCGCGTACCGCAAAAATCATTTGCACAAATCTTTATATTTTATGAATTTTAAAATTAGGGTTTGGAGCTTAAGTGGCAAAGTTAGAATGGAAAGTTTAACACGCATCCATTTCCATATTTACTATAATTGGTATATCTTCAATGCAACGATGAATCACAACGAACTTTACGGTCTTTGCGATAGAACTGAGGTAACGATAAGGGGATAACGATCTCTAGAATCGCTACGATCGTGAAAGAGTAGTTTTTATATTAACCCAACGATCACTGTCGTTAGAGACAGTCTACACTGCCGGTTTCCTTTCTAGCGAGAATTTTGTGCGGACACGTCCGGCTGCACCGTAGGCTACTGTCGTTTATAAAATGACTGAGATACTTCGCACGCTCCGATTGGTCAATAGAGTTGCTAAACCACGGTTCCTGATCTATGGCAGCTCTATGCGCGAACTGAGAACTCAGAACTCTAGCGATATAACAGATGTAAAAAATAGTTTTGCCCTTCACGGGCTGAGATATTAACAACACGAATATCTTTTCATTCAACAAATACATGGAAATTTGCAAGGAAAAACAAGACCNTTCTGTTTTAGAGCTTCTTTTCTGTCTTTATATTTAACTTCTCGGAGGGTCTTTTCTACCATTTGCTTCGCGTAGCCTCTCGAGATCAGGCGTGTATTGAAATTTTCAACATTCTCTTCAATGTATTTCACAATAAACCTCACGCAAGCAAGACGGAGTTTAGGGGTAAATTTTATTACTTATTTCACGGTTATTCAAACAAAAACTTACATTTTCCATGAATCAACATTGCCAAAATCCATTCGGGATAAAACAATAAAGCGCTGATCTCTCCCCAAAACCATGTTTTTGGGCGTCGAAACAACCTTTTGCCATACATTTCCTTCTAGCGACTTGCAATGTTTGCCTCCTGACGATCCCAGAGTTCCTTTCCCAAACACGGGTATCCGATTACTGGCAACTCATACATTGGTATACGTTCATTGTAACGGACGATCGCAACGAACTTTACGGTCTTTCTGATAAACTGAGGTAACGATAACGGGGTAACGATCTCTACAATCGCTACGATCGTTGAAGAGTAGTTTCCATATTAATCCAACGATCACCGTCGTCACAGACAGTCTTCACTGCCGTTGTAGACTATATCGAGGATTTTGTGCGGAGACGTCCGGCTGCACCGCAGGCTACTACCGTATAGCGCTCACTAATGGAAACCAGTGTGTGTTAATGTGTGTTGCTTCATTATGTTTATAAGAGATGCTCAGTTGACACCTCGAGGCTGTCAGTTACGAATTGATGAAACATTTTGCTGTCTTGCAGGTCTCGTAAAGGCCCATCTGGCAATCAGAAAGCGGGCATGACAGCAACAAGCGCTAACGTTCCAAGGCAGTGGTCTTCAATGCCGTCGGATGAGCAATACAGACGCGTTCCGTTAACTACAACCTCATCTGAATATAAAAAGATGGAGAGGCTGTTTAAGAAAAGTGTAAGGAAGCACGTGGTCATCAAAGGTATTGAACGTGTGCAGAACCCGTTCATGTGGGAAAAGTATCAAAGGTATTTAATTCTTACTAACAATAACGCCATGCCTGGCTTAATATTTTGCAATGATAGTATCATTATAGAACGTTCCAGTTCTTCCCTTCTCTACCAGCTTCGCAAATGGAGGAAATATCCTTGAAAAAATAAAGAAGAGTGTATCTTTCCCATGTAGATTCTGAGTTTTTTTTTATTGGGATATTGATTCAACAAAGAAGTGTCAAATTGTAGAGGCAAGCCATCAGCTAGAAATTGCCTGGTCACCGTTTACATCTCTTTAATGAAAGATTCTTGTGAGGCAGCTCATGGATGAATTGGATTAGTCTAAGAAAAGAAGTCGAACAAAAAGTAGGAATTGATGGATTAGGAGTATTGAAAGCTATTTGGAACGTTGAAGAATCTACGAGGCAAAATATATGTCGGCAGAGCATACATGTGCCTGCTTACATTTACTTGATATAATTAGTTTACAGTTGATAATTTTTGAAATGACTTTTTGAAAGCCCAAGTAGTACATGTGCAGTGTAACTAGGTAAGTACAGAAAAATCAAATTGCGGGCTGTTTATACAGCCTGCTAATAAATTTTAAAATGGAATATGTTGGGAATTGTTTTCAGCGAATTGTAGGCTCAAACTCCAAATAAACGAACGATTTAATCAACCAACTAAGTAAGCCGGAACATACAATAAACGGCGAATCACAATGGCTGAAATCGGTGAAGAAGCTAGACTCTTCACTCCAAAAACAGCGGCAAGGCTGGCCTAAAATCTCGAACACCGCAAGAAAATACCACAAAGATGAAAATCTGGAAAATTATGACAGCGAAGTTCAAATGTACGCGCGAGCACTTTCTGGGCTACGATTGGCTAATTAAAGACACCTGAAATCACGCGCGCGGACAAAAACTCGTACTACGATGAGAGGGGTGAGTTCAAAGTTTGTCAAGTTCAAAACATCTTCCCCCTCGATCAGTGTTTATCATAGTCCTTCAGTTCGTCCAGAAAGCTGATCGACTTGAAGTCATCTCATTTCTCCTTCAATGGCAGCTTGCCTCCTCTGTGGAGTGCTAGCAATTGGTCTAGCAGGTTCCTCTCCATCTGCAACTCTAGTCTCACAAACTTCTAACGGAAACAGTTTCTGTAGGGGTCTCCTAAGACGCTTTCGTTTACCATTTGTTGAGACAACTTTTAGATCGTGGCTTGGGTAGGTAGATATGTAGGTAGGTAAGTAGGTAGGTACCTTATTTACTCGATTTAACGCCGCGGCGTTTATTAAATTTTTTGTGATTCGAGTGCTGCGTTTATTCGAGGGCGGCGTTTATAGAAGTGGTTGCGCCATAAACAAACAAAGCAACGACCCTGTTGTTTTAATAGATTTCTTCTTTCGCTGATATCGGCAACTATACCACAACTTGAGCTTGGGTGACTCTGCTTACAGAATGTGTAGCTGACAGGTTGTTCAGACTGATTAGTTAACGTTGCACCGGTCGGGACATTTTTACCCTTATTTCTTTGACTTGAGAGTGGTCTCTTAGAGTGAAAGAATCAGACGGGTTTGTTCCAATAGGCTCGCAAAGTTCCCTTGATTCAATTTCAGAGTCAAAGGCTTTTAACAGAACATCCAAGTCCCATTCGTGTTGATCTATAGCTTTTGATATTATTACACGCATGTTCGGGGGTAGTTTTTCCATAAGAAGGGGAACCAAGAGTTTCCCATACGACTCACAGTGTATCCCCAGGGATAGAAGGGCTCGAACGTGGGCCTCGACTCGATCATAAAGGAGGCGCAGCCATTTCAAGTCATTGTCAACTATTACTTCTGCTGCCTTCACTACACCCTCCGTCTGAGCATTAATGATTATCAGGGGCTGCCCAAAACGTTTCTGCCTTTGGTTGCTCCAATGTTTTCTGCTGTCAGCTGCAGCCCTCGAATAGCTCCTGCGGCAGATCCCTCCAGTGAATTTCTCAAGTAATTAAATTTATTAACATCTGATTAACCAGGATTGTCATCGACAGCACTTCTGAATGAATCCCAGAATGGAGTGAAAGAAATAGGATCACTAGAATTTCTTCAGAGTAATCTTGGGCAGTTTTACCTTCCCGGCTCCTAGGCCTTTGGTAAACGAGTTAGAGTTAGAAGGATAATGAGAAATTGACTTATCTGTGTGTCCAGAGTTTTCCACTTCTACTGCGTTTAGAGTCTCGTCAATTCGCACTATCGTCTGATGAATAGATTCTCTAAAGATTCCAGTTTCTCATATTTCGTCTTCGATATGTTCTTCCGTAATTAAGGTCAGAATTTCGTCGTCTAAGGCGCCAAGAATGTTCAATTTTCGGTTAGAGTGAACCGATACGTTTTCTCTTGATTTGCCACAGAGAGTTGAAAGTCGTCAAGTCAGGCTTGAACCTTTTCCAGAGTTTTCGTCACGTAGCCTTTACGACCTGCACGGACTTTCTTCTTTTTTATCTCTTCGTCAGCCATGTTTTCCAATCCTTTGAATCGTCGAAGGTAAACTCTTTAGACCAGTCGCATCCCGGGTCTCGGCACCATGTGGGGAATTTTATTCAGCGAGTTGTAGGCTCAAACTCCAGATAAATGGATGACGTCATCCATGAGGGAACAGCAGGTTAAGAAGCTAGCAAAATCACAATTGTCAAACTGATATAAATAAATTAAACTACATGTATATGGGGCCCGTAATTCATTTGGCTGCTATTATACTGGCACTAAATTTTAAACTTCCGTAGACAAAAGGGGATCTTATATGTGTTGTTGATTTGTAACCAAACCATATAACAGTAAAACAATACATTTCACTACATACGGAACGAGCTTTTGGTCGCAACTGATACGATATATAGAAGAGTGTTTAAGGTTGATACTACGTTTTTTTTTTTTTGCGTTCACTGTTTGCAGGAAAAAGGAGAACATGCTGGCGGTCAAGGCTGGGAGCCAAAAACGAATTCCTCCCAACGAGAAAAGATTGTTTCATGGAACTAGCCCTGAAAACGTGGAAGCCATCTGTAAACACAACTTTGATTGGCGCTTGCACGGAAAGAACGCGACGGTGTATGGGGAGGGAAGCTACTTCGCTTTGAATGCCTCTTACAGCGACGCTTACGCCAAGAAAGACGAGAATTCATGTCGATTCATGTTCGTGGCCAAAGTCCTTGTTGGTTCTTATACTGAGGGCCGCTCCAGTTATCGAAGACCCCCACAGAAAGATCCTTCAAACCCAGCGAGCGATCTGTACGACTCCTGTGTGGATAACATATCAAAACCAACCATTTTCGTCGTTTTCGATACCGATCAGTTCTACCCTGAGTACATTATCAAGTATTCACATGAGCGTGCTTGCTATCCAGCTGCAGTAGCATACCAAGTAGCCCATGGTGGTTATCAGAGTGCTTAGTATTCATTTTATGTAGGTAATTAGAAGTGGTTTTTCACGGAAACCAGTTGCTGAAAAGCCAGTGCCAAAGCCGAGGCTTCTTAAAGTAGCACCATTGCAATCTGGAGCTTCTCGGCGCACGCCATCACCACCATGGCCATATCAATAAATAACTGCACAACAAGATATGAAATAAATAAAATTAAATAACTCGTACAGCTCGAATGTTAAACCTTTTCTTCTGAAATTTGGTGAAAAGAATTCCCATATGACTGGTATAAAACCTATCATTTTGTTTTTGGATTGAATTATTTAAAGCCGAGAAATTCGAGATTGTGTACAGCGTGGTCATATATTCTCTGAAATGGCGTTCCCGTACCTGCTGTGTAATTGAACAAATATTTTTCTGGCTAGTATCTACTCAGTATACTCTTATCTAGACTATGAGAGTTTTGTGTGTTTATATCGTAGCTATTAATTGTGTTTCAACAGCTTTTCTTTATGTAGTTCCGTCTGTTTTGGCTTACAAAAGATTTTACAGCAATAGAACCATGTTAGAACTGTTCATATGAATGTCCTGGAATTTGGATTATTTTAAATTTAGTTAACGATTTCGTAATGTGTTCGGACGACCTACGCTTGACTTCAATCTTATGACTAAACTCTGAGAAACGATTTAGCTTTCTTCCATCTTTATTGAGGTTTACTTTAATCTGTGAATCAGGACAAATATCCAAACTCAGCGAACTATATTTCCGTTGTCATTTACGTTACTTTCACTTAGGAAACAAACATTAGCCAACAAAACTACATCCGAAAAGGCGATATTTACGTTAGGTTGAGTCAAGGTCACACATTTATGCATAATGAGGGGTTTTTTCAAACTTATGAAAATCTTGCTGACCTCTACATTTCAAACACCTTGGAGGTCCTTTGTGCTCAATCCGTGAGTTTAAACTCAAATTTCCACGCTCTTTCGGTCTAAAACTAAATTTACTTTTCATCAGGACCTACATCAAGATCATAGTTAGCTTTCTGTCTGTTTACTTTCGTTTATTAGCATGCCTTTGCATAGAAATCTCTTGGAATAAGAATTTTTGCAAAAGTAAACATACCAAGATATGATGATGATGAAATCTCTTATTTTGGGCGACTCGAACAGCTGAAGTCACCTTTTAAGCATAACAAAGATATTTGATTTAGTTAGTTTTAGTGAATTAGGTTTCTCTGACATCAATTACGAGTGCAACTTATACCAACTTCACTTGTAACTTATGCCAACGTCACTGGTAAAAAGACTTGTAAAGCCTTGTAGACACTTGGAAGACTTAGAAAAACCTCTGTAAGCCTGACGAAGATATCCAATAAAGTCTACGCTGTTGTGAAACAAAATCTGCTTTGTGACACCATAGATCTGAAAAACAGACATCATTTCTGCATCATTGACTTTAAAACTATCAATTTTCTTTTTCGATTGATTTTTTTTTGTAGCTGAGTAATTTGCAATTATGTGAACGTGCCCATACATTCCTTGTTATGACGTTCCCATACCTGCTCTGTAATTTAACAAATAATTTTTTCTTGCTTGAGTATTAGAGCTATAGATCAAATATTTAGCAGACATCATTTCCACATCATGAACTTTAAAACTATCCATTTTGTTTTTGGATTGAATTTTTTTTAGCTGAGTAATTCGCAATTATGTGAACGTGACAACACATTCTCTGTAATAGTGTTCCTATACAGGCTCTGTTATTCAACAAAGAATTTTTTGTAGCTTGAGTATTAGATCGGAAATTTGGCAGACCTCATCTCTGTATCATTGACCTTAAAACTGTTTATTTTGTTTTTGGATTGAACTTTTAATAGCTGAGTAATTATCAGTTTTGTAAAGCGTCTCTGTGCATAATGGATTGTTAAAGTCTGAATTAAATTAATTACGTTACGATAGCTCAGTTAATTGGTAGGACGCTGGAGTGTAGTATTGGTTTACCGTCCTGAGGCCACCGGTTCAAATCCGGTACAAAGGAGTTCTTCCTTTTATTTTTGCTGAGGATAAAAAGCGGTTGAGTATATAATTTTTCAGAACTTTGTCGTAGTTTTCTTGCCACTCCCTTCGTGCGAGGACGCCATCTTAAAAATAATCGTTTGGAAATTTATATCTCAAAATAAAAGTAAATCTGAGAACTAAAGTGAATTGGTATTGATTACAGCATCAAATGGTGCATTATCAAACCGGTGATCCCGTACAAGGAAATCGGAGCATCTTATGACATGGGCTGGCAAAAACGGGGGAAGGGAAACAATAGCTTGACAGGCGATTACAATTTTATGTTGACATAAGACTTCTACCATAAGTTTTTTTTCTGACTTCATTTTTCATGTGATCCTCCCATTCTACCACTTGCCTAGTGAAATCTCTTACATTCAGGAACTAAAAATTCTTGTCAAACATTCAAGCTAGTGTTGCCTAGCAAAATCTTCTAAGAACCAGTTTTTTCATTGTAGTTCTGTAATTTTGCACTATTTACAATAGCTGATTACTAGACTCAGTCTTTCTCCACATCTGGTTTCCTGGCTGTTTTGTGTTTTTATTTTTGGGAAGGGAATTTGGCCAAAAATGCCTGCCTTGGGTCTTTTCTTAAAGCTAAATTAGCCATAAAAAAGCTACATGTCAAATTTTGCATTTGTCACAGGAACTGGTTCCCTCATTGGACTTCATAGAGGCAAAATTTTAGGGTACAGTACTAGGACAAAGCGTTGTGCAGTTTGTGAGGTAACCGTTAGAAATGGCAGTGCTCCAAGAAAACATGACTGTCGAAAGAACTGGACAGGGTCCTCCAAAGCAATGGAGCCAGATGTTGCTGCAGAGTTGACAGTGTCTGCATCACAACACCATGTCCAAGTTAAAATACTTGTTCGGGATGAGGACTCAAGCACCATAAAAAAGGTCACAGAATGCGTGTCACATGATGTTGAGAAGTGGTTGGACATAGTGCAAACTAAAAGGTCGTTTGGAACCTCTCTGTATGCCCAAAATTACAAAGGAATCCTCAGTGTTAAAGTTATTAACTACTTGTTGACATGTTTTGGCTATGCAAAACAAGGGTAATCTTTAAGGACTTCAGAAAGACCTAAGAGCAATTGTCCCTCATGCTTTTGGGAAACATGGAAACTGTGACCTATCTTGGTGTGGTTTCCTCAAAGACCCAGCTACTTACACACACAAATCATTCCCGTATGGCAAAGATCTCCAAGTTGCAAAGCTGCAGAAAGACCTTGAAGAAGTAGTTGAGGTCTTTGCCTCAAATGCTGAGAAACTTGCCCCACTTGGCTCAAGCCAGGCAAATGAGTCACTGAATAACTCTGTAGGAAGCAAGGCTCCTGCGATCCGCGACTATGGGGCAAGTGAGAGCAACGGCTGCGGAGTAGCTTGTGCCGTCAGCCAAAAGAGTCTTGGTTTTAGGAAAAATAGATTTGGCTTATTAGTCCCCTCCACCTCTCTAAAACTTGAGTTCCCCCACTTTTACCTAATTGAATGTACACTGGTCTAATAGTTGGCATATTAATATCATATCCTTGTTTTCAACCTGAAGGACAGTTTTGCCTCATGTTATAAACATGCAGTGGTAAGGATGGTGTCAGGATTTGGGTACCTTGTTTGATGGACAGGCATATCTTTCAATGGGGAGTATGTATTGTATATGTATGTATTTATAGCCTCTCAGGGGCTTGTACCACAGAAACCAGGTTGAGCCCTAGCCTGGAATTTACACTAATTTATAAGGTCCTTACTTGACAACTTTTACTTTAATCCTCACCAATGATATTTGTAACAATTTGATACAATCTATTTTTACAATAATTGACCCCTCAATGATTGCTTGTTTCATCAAATATATGTGATAAAATACATGTAAAGCAAAACTATTTCCAATTTGTGTTACATATACCTTATATGTTATATTGTAGGTATTGAGTGTCTGACATTAATTTATCTCCAGGCACACATTGCAAGGTGTATACAGAAAGATTAGACAGAAAGAGATCCAGGCTTAGTGCTAGGTCAAAGACCAGGGAGTACAAAAAGAAGAGAAGGGAGCAGAGAGAGAAGAGAAGTTCTAAAGTCAGGCAGCTAGAAAATAGAGAAGGGATCCAGTATGAAAGTGGTTTGGGTTGGAATCAGTGAAAACTCAGAATCACCTGTAGAGATTCCTCCACCAACTGCTTTGAAGAAAGTTACAATTGACTTGGAAACATCTACAAGGGGTATTTTTATATTCTCTACTTAAACAACAATCATTTGTTAAAAAAGAACTGAAACTTTGATTTAAGCATCTGATTGCAAGGGTTAAAGTTAGTGTGACAAAGCCTTTATGACATTGTTTATTTGTTAAAAAATTTAGCAACATTATTTTCATCCTTAATATTATTTTCCTATATACACATGTAGCATTTTATAGTTTGAATGGTAGTCATGCTACTGTTGAGACTGATACCAAGGCAATGGTGTTTTAGGGAGTCAAACAGTACTGTTGTCCTAGCTAACACGACTAAAACGACTGTGTGGGTAACTTGCTAGTTTTCTCTGGAGATGCAAAAATTCAAATTCAATAAGACAAATTGCCAGTTTTCCAATCTTTTCATTCTGATTTAGGTGATAATGCAGGAATATGTGAGATTGATGTAGTGGAAAGAAATTACCAGTTCCGTGTATACATTCTACCAAAGTGAGGTATAACAGCAGGATCTTCAGCTGTGAACGAGCTCTCTGTCAAGCATGGAGTTCTATTTCATGATGGCAGACCAGTTGAAGCAACAAGTTTGGATAATGGTTGTCAAAGTCTTGAACTGGATCAAACCAAAAAACCACGTTTGCTGTTGGCACGCAATGCTAAGGGTTTTGATGCCAAGCATCTGTACAAGGTCTGACATCGTGCAGCACGTTTGATGAATCATTCTGCGAAATTGTTCTTGGATTTTCTGACGCACTGCCTGCCTTCAAAGAGCTGTATCCTAACAGAGAGTCCTTCACCCAGCAGAATTTGGCCACAGATCTTCTTGGTGCAACTTACAGTGCACACAGTGCCCTTGACAATGTGCTGATGCTACAAAAGTTGAGCGCTAGCTGTCTAAGTGATGCTGTTCTTCTGAAACACAGCTTCTCAAATTCCGGCAGGTTTCTTTCACAGGTCGCGGGTCACAGGTCACAGGTCACAGGTCACAGGTCACTGGTCACAGGTCACAGGTCACAGGTCACCAAAAAATATGCCAAAACGTCATAAAACAGATGCATACAAGTGCGTCCCTAGTGCAACTATAAGAGCTCTTTCTTGAAAAAAAAGCGCGTAGGGGAAATCAGTTGTAGCACTGCAATAAAAAAAAAATCCAAAGAAAGCCAAGAATTATTTCTGTTGAA